AAAAGTTTCCTGGCTTGAAAGTAACCTTAGCTGAGCATACTCACGGAAGCATCTTCTTCGTCCATTTCCTGTTTCCAGTAAAGTTCCACTTTAGTGATTCCCACTTTTATTTTTTCGGCAATAAAGAGAGGAGCTGCATGCTTTATTCTTATTGTGACTTCCTTGATGTTAGTCAAGCCGAATTCAGTCTGGCCTTGAATCGCAAGAGTAACATCTCGTCCACTCGGAAATGCAATTTGGGGCACAACATTCATCTCTCCGGATCTACCTTCGAAAATGGGCGCACTGTATCTGTCTTTACCAATCCTCTTTTTGTATGTGCGCATTACTGTATATCTTTCTACAAGAGAGTCGTCACCAAATTTCATTTTGACAATATTTGAGAGTCGCTCAAGAATCTCAGGCTTCTGAAGTTCCGGAGCAGATCTAATGTTGTAAACCTCAGACTCAGCCATAATTCCGTTTTTGTAGATAACGTGAATTTTTAGTTCAACTTCGGTATCAGGAGCGATTGATTTCTTGAGCTGATTGGAATTAAAGTCGGAAATACTGTAGACATCGCTTCCGATGGACACTTTCAAACTTTCGATGACTGTATTGCTGCTTGAATCTTCGAAAATCGGCAGCCATTTGATGATGATTTCGTTGAAATTTGCCACGACGGTCAAAAATTCTGGTTTCGAAGGGAGGGCGAATCGCTGATGCTGGCATTTAGCTCCGTAAAACTCGATCGGGCAGCGACAGATCATCCCTTTTGCGAGTGAAACACGAACCGCCGTTTTCGCACTGTGGTTCCGCGTTTTTCGAATCTCCGAAAAACGTGCAGAAATTGAGCGTAGACGTTGCAGAATCTACAGAAATTTCTCCAACTTTGAAGCCTTTTGCTTCTAAGCTTTCGCGGAGCTTGATATTGAATCCATTTTCGACCTCGGCTTGTCTCCATTTCAAGTCTTCTTCCGACGCTCTTATCAGCACTCGCGCCTTTTTACCGTTTCCTTCTTCATCTTTCGAGAAATTGATCAGAAGTGCAACATAATCTTCATCAACAGAAACACGGCCGAGTAACAAAGATTGAGCTTTTGTGAACTGGGCTGAGAGAGGTTGAGAAGATGCTCACTCCATTGATTATCTTTTTCGGATAAGTTGATCTCAACAACGGCTGACAAATCAAAGTTGATATCGTTCGATAGTGTCTGGATCATCAAGAAGTCCATCCAATCGAAGGATCCAGACTTGGAGAGCTCAAACGACTCGCTTCTAGGCTTGAGTCGTTCCAATAAGTCTGCTTTCTGTTTGATATGCGTAGCAGGACAAACTTTCACAGAGCATTTTCGGCTTTCTAATCCATTTCCTTGGCATTTTGAATATGTCTTGAGAAACAATTCCATCGCAAGATTTCCGGAAAATTCTCCACTCGCTACTCCGAAATTGGGACTTTCGAGCTTGCATGATCTTAGACGAGCCTGCTGACCTCCAAACCCACAAGTCTTTGAGCAGGTAGACCAGGACTCCCACTGGCTCCATGCCAACCCACACGAGTGTACGTTGCAAGGTAGGTATTCGAGAGGCTGGCCAAAGCAGGTTGGTGTTCGCTTTACCAAAGGTCAAAAAAACGTCATTTTCTAGTTCTTTTTTTTTATAATAGTTTGCACTTTTTTAGAAAATATTGGTTTTGAGCGTTTTCTACTAAGATAATTGCTAGAGTGCGACCTGATCCTTTAGGTATTGATGAAAGGTAATTGCGCCAGTTAAATATTTTGAGAAAGCAGCTTTGAGGTTCGTCCGGCAAGTCCGATAACGCATGCGTCTCCCGCTGCCGCAACGCTTCGAGCATTGCGACCACTCGGTCCACTTGCTCCAGCCAGATAGTGTGTCCTCTTGAATAAATTCATCTAAGTTGAATTTCGGTGACGATTTCGATTGCGTATCATAAAGAAACTTGTGTTGTGTTAACGAAATATAAACGCACGATTGTCGTTGATTCTTATGTTCATTTTAGAAATCCTTTGGATAGTAATTTTTGTTATGGTGAAAATAATGTTAGCGTCTTTGCTAAGTGTGGCTATTTTTCTTCCGCTCTCCATTATGATTGAATATACTCACCTAATGCAATAAGTGGTAGAAATATTTACACAAAGCAGGGATAATTTAATTGTTACACCTAACGTATTTTGAAGATACACTAAAATATTAATTTCTTTAACATTCCTTGAGCAAGTATGGATTTGTGGTTTTCTCACAACATGCAATATTTATCAAGGTGACTAGAATATAGCCACATATAGAAAACTTCTTCATCTTCCCAAATTGGAATAGTTGATGTTCTCAGACGAGTTCTACTCTTTTAGAAACGGTAATTTACCATGGCCTCTCAGTTATTTCCAGTTTAGAAGGCTTCTTGATTCTCTAAGAGCTTCGAATTTTTTCTCTTGGGGTTTTAGGTCTTATTTAGGTGGATTTAGAGCTTGGCTTTATTGCTGTTAATTTTTCTCGGAAAAATTGATAATCCGGGCAAGGATTGAACGTCTTGTTCCATGCGATTTGGCTCCAACTCCACCTACTGGAGCGACTTCGCTCAGCACTAGAATCGTAATAGTACTGCACCGCTCCATACTACACCTTCGCTAGGTACAGTAGTATTTACGACGGTGCCAGCGCCAGCAGGTACAACTTACACCACCGAGAACCCGCAATTGGCTCCGGATTACATAAGCGCTTCTAAAAAGGCGCTTCTCCACGCTGCTAGAAAATATAATTGGGGGGGGGGGCACCCGGACATACGGAAAACATACCAAGCAAAGAACAAACTATTAAAATGTGTTTCATGCAAGTAATTGTTATTTATGTTTATTGGACAGATCAGTAATCTAAAAATTAGGCGGGTCAGTGATTTTAGCTAAAACTAATTAATGATATTCGTGATGAAAGTAATAACTATTAGTCCGCAAAAGCACTTGCATATACAGAAAAGACACTGGCAACAGGAGCAATCTTCTTCATTGTTTCGAGCTGTTCTTGTTGAAACTGTGGATGAATAAGGAAAAGTTGAATAAGATAGCGGCTGGTTTGTGTAGACAGGCTCAGTATATCGGTCATGACGCATATTCGTTCTTCTGGTGGTTGTCGGATTTCCATGTGGTTGTGAACTCGTATGAAAATTGTTCCTTTGAGGCTGAGGAAGTGCGGGGACTGATGAAATAGCAAGTTGAGCATAAGCGCTTTCCCACCACCTCCCACATATGCATTTATAATATCCAAAAAGCCGCCCATCACCGTGATATTCACGTTCTTCTTCAATTTCAAACAATCTCTCCCCACAAGATCTACAATCAATTTCGTACTTCTGATAGTCAGTTGAAAATTGTTCATACTGGCAGCGGTAACAGTAAAATTTTCTTTTTTATCCAGGCTCTAGCCATCTCTTTTTTCAATAAAAACACAAATCAGAACAAATAGCAAAGCGCAGAGTAAATATTAGGAGTTAGTAAGAAGAGTTTATTAAAGATGAATATTGTGCATATAACGAACTCGATGATTTCCATATTGATTTCTTCTCGCGGTGATTTCTTCCTCTCGAAGCTCATTCCTCGGTCTTCTTGGTTTAGGGATAGGGACGTGTTTTACAACTTCATTCGAATGAACATTTCTTTCAACGATATGTTTTTGTCTGATGCTTTCTTCAAACTCACGCTTTCGTGCTAATAATTGTCTATAAATAATCAAGTAGACCAAAAAAACCTGTAACGACAGTCTGCGAAATCGAAAACAGGTATCGAAAGATGATGAAAACACTCGCATTGCTCATGAAGTTCCAGATAATAATGACTATTCGATAGATGGATAAAAGGTAATTATCATGCAGAAAGCTTGGGACTTACTAGGCGATGAATTTTGAAAATAAATATAGTGACAGATTGAATTCTCGCCCTTCCTGTATCTGTGCCTGCAGAGAAGAAGGATGATGACATTAGATAATACACAGAATCGCCAAAGGACCACCCTTCGATCTAATAATTTTCAATGTTACCTGATGAATTCGCTAAAAACTTCACCTGTGAAATAGCATTCGATGGTATAAGCACAAGAAAGCAAACCCAAAATGAAATAAGAAAAAGTACAAAACCAACGTGAATTCTATACTTTTTATCAGACGAATAATTCTTCCCAAGCTTGTCAGCGTAATTATTAACCTTCGCAAGAACAAATGAAGAAATTGAGAAATATAAAGCCAGGAAAGCGCAGATGCCAACAAGCGAATAAAAAACCTTGAAAACCTTTCCCGATGTTGTGAAGGGCTCCATGTCTTTGCTCCCCAAAACGGCGATAGTATTGAAAACGTAGAAAAGAGAGTTTTTGTAATTCCAGAAATTCGGACAAGTGAATGTTCCATTTTCAGTGCCATAAGAAGGAACGAAGTTTTGGAGCGAATCGTGTATTTTCTTTTCCGGCTGAAGATAGGAGTCTGTTCCGTAAATCGATCCGTTCATCATCCTCTTTGGAACCCGACAATCCAAATATTTTTCAAGAGTACTTTCAAGATTGGCCCCACAGGTGTCTATCTTCTCCGATTGATCTTCAACCAGCTTTTCTTTGTTGATAAGAATGAGTTCTACTTGCTTCAGTTCCTCCGCCATTCTCATTTCTGATTCTATAGCTGAAGTGAGATTTCTACTGAATTCAGTCGATAAGGCTCTCATAAAATATATCGATTGACTCTTTGCCTCTTCTAGCTCGTCGATTACTGAATTGACATCGTTAATAATATGCTTGATGCGCTTAGGTTCGTCAACAAGAAAGTCGACTACAAATCGTTCAAAAAGACTGTCCACCTCGCACGTTATGTTTCCTACATCATCTCGTGTTTTTTGAAGCTTGGCGATAGTATACAGCCGGTCTCCTTGCTTCACATCGATGAGTTCTATTGACTGATTAACTGTTAGATTTGCTCTCTCAACAAGCAACTCCACTTCGTCTCTTATAATCCCACTGACAGATGATAGAATTGATTCTGAAAGCCTTCTGGCCTCAAGATTCGCTCTTGTCAAACCGAATTCCCAAATTTGAGTCTCACCAATTGTTACATTTTCAAATACTGGGTCTGTCAAGTTGTAACTAAATAAAGTCAAGTTCTGGGTAACGACGGTTAGATTTCTCGATATTTCCATCAGCATGTCAGTCACGTTGCCATCAAGAGCATAGGGGATTCTGACATTGTCCAAAGTGAAGCTGAACTATTGAAATTCTAGTAACCGTAAATTATCAGATACGCTTACCGTAGCACTTTGGTCGAACAAAAGATTACTTTTTCCGTTTATATACGTCATGTTCTGCATGATTTCATAAACACATGGTGGAAGTCCCTGTCTTTTCAATGCTTCACATTCTTCGGACTCAACTTCTATAACTTTATCGACTTCTTTGATGATTTCTTTAACTTCAGGTTCTTCGCAAACACAGTCACTAGCTTCCTCTGTCGATGGAGAAACTGTAGTAGATCCTGTTGACACTGTCATATTGTCTATGGTTACATTTTCAGGTGACACTGCAGTCGCACACTTTTCATTTGTTTCACAACTCTCTACTTCAAATTCTCCACCAAGACATTCATCACCAGACACTTCACACTTTCTATTGCGATAAAGAACTCCAGTACCACAAGTCTCAGAACAATCAGACCAGTTCGACCATTCAGTGATAACCGGACAGGTTGAATTCAAACAAGGCTGGTTTTCGATGTAGTCCTCCTCAAGATTGGCGCAAAGTCGGACTTCATCAACGGGCAAAACGGTGAATCTTTCGCTTGGAATAGCTGCAAATTCATTATAATTCTGCTTCTTTTGGCCACAAGATCGACTTCGTTGCCTGGTGCCAAGTCCACATGAGCTTGAACAGCTTCCCCAGTCGGCCCAAGACGTCCACTCGTAATCAAAGAAGTAGTTTGAAGTTTGACGACAGTTCGTTGATATTTCAAACTCTTTCCTGTCGATAAAATCATCGCACTTAGTACTGAACCAAATATAATTTGCGTTTCTCTTCTCCTTTGCAATCAAATCGGCTTGCATCCCATTCGGAAGCTTGAGAATCAATCTTTCAAGACATATCGCAGTTGAGCCACTCCATTTCAGCGTTAATTGAGCGAAATCGTTTACAAATCGAAGTCCTGTTGTTATCGAAGAAGTCTTTAGTCCTCCAAACAAACTTAAATTTAAAATTGAATCGTAATCATTTGAACTTGCAAATTTACCTTTTATATTCATCAGCATTCTCGAATTCCTTGTTCTCCTCGTTGATCCCCGAAATAGAAACTGTGTGAGAGAAAAAATCCTCGTGGGAGGATCGCAAGATCATCAGCATATCATCATCTGGAAGCTCCATGATGATTGCCCCCGTTTCGTTGTGGGTACAGAAGCTGTACTCCAACAGAATGCTATCAATATTTACTTGCCGTCGAATTCTCGCTGGTGCCGGGGATATTGAATAAGTTTCAGTTGCTTCAGCGACAGTAAAGTTTTGGGTAGATAGGATCGTTTTTGGGGCTAGAGTCGAGACATCAAATATTGCTGTTGTAATGTTCAGTTCTGGTGGGAGGGTCGCATTTGGAAAAATAAGCTCTCTGGTCAAATACTCTTTCGTTTTCTCGTAATTTTCGATCCTTCAAGAACATTTGATAGTGAAAGGGACACTGATGCTTACTGAATTTCAATTTCTTCAATCGCTTCATTACAGAGTCTCTTTTCCAGGGGATGCTCAAGTAAGCTGAAAATGTATGCGCCGACAAGGATGTAGAAAAAATAAAAAGACGCCACTAGAATTCTTTTAACGTAACGTTGTTTCGTCGTTAATCTTATTTTTGCATATTTTGCTTTTTCGTCCTGCGGAATTTTCGGGTAATAAGCTCTCCTTGTCATATTTACAATTAGTTTGTGAAGGAAAAGATGCGGAAGCGCGCGGGGGTTTTGAATTTTTAAGGGTTCATGAATTTCAAGCGGGTTATTCTTGTATTTATAAGAGAATGCAGGCTGCTTTGTTTTCCATATGCTCTTGATTAGCCTGCTATTGAGAGTGATTTACTGGTGTTTTTATAATCAATGTTATTGTGGATAACCTGCATCAAATCAATTACAAACTAAAAGATAAGAAAAAGAGGTTTATTTCTTGAACTTATTATTTCAAAAAATGAATTTAATATTCCTCTTCGTCTTCTTCGCCCTCAGCGTCGTTGGTGTCCATTCCAACTTCCTCGTAATCCTTTTCCAAGGCTGCGAGATCCTCTCGGGCTTCGGAGAATTCGCCTTCCTCCATGCCTTCACCGACATACCTGAAGGTAACTTTAGCTCTTGCATATTTGAGTATTCTTACCAGTGGACGAAGGCTCTCTTCGCGTACATGAGATCGAACTTGTGGTTCAATCTCGACCAGGCGTCTGCGATCGCCGTCGTGTTAGAGAGCATGCAGAGTGCTCGTCGAACCTTGGCGAGGTCCGAGTTCGGCACGACGGCGGGTGCCTCGTTGTTGATGCCAACCTTGAAGCCGGTTGGGCACCAGTCGACGAATTGGACGGATCGTCGAGCTTTGATGCCGGCGATCGCAGCGTTGGCATCCTTGGGTACAACGTCGCCGCGGTAGAGCAGGCAGCACGACATGTACTTGCCTAGACAAAATTTTAGGATTAGTTTTCTCTTTTAAAAATTTACCAGTTCTTGGGTCGCATTTGACCAGCTGTCCGCCCGGCTCGAAGCAAGCGTTGGTCAATTCCGCTACAGAAAGCGATTCGTGGAACGCTTTTTCGGCGGAAATGATCGGCGCGTAGGTCGCCAACGGGAAGTGGATTCGTGGATACGGCACCAAGTTCGTTTGGAACTCGTTAAGATCCACGTTGAGCGATCCTTCGAATCGCAGCGAAGCGGTGATCGAGGAGACAACCTGAGCGATAATTCGGTTAAGGTTGCTGTACGATGGTCGCTCTACGCCGAGTCTAAAGATTTTCGGTTGGATAATAAAATGGCGTTGACAATCTTACCTCTTCGTACAGAGATCGTAGATGGCCTCATTGTCGACCATAAACGCACAGTCGGTGTGCTCCAGAGTCGTATGTGTGGTCAAGATCGAGTTGTAGGGCTCAACCACGGCAGTCGACACCTGCGGAGCTGGGTAGACCGCGAACTGGAACTTCGCCTTCTTTCCGTAGTCGACGGAAAGTCGCTCCATCAGAAGCGAGGTGAAACCGCTTCCGGTGCCGCCACCAAAGGAGTGGAAGACCATGAAGCCCTGGAGACCGGTGCAGTTATCCGAGAGCTTTCGGATTCGGTCCAGGACCCGGTCGATGATCTCCTTGCCGATGGTGTAGTGGCCACGGGCGTAGTTGTTCGCTGCATCTTCCTGAAAATGATTTTAGTCCGGAATCATAAAAAAACTGCTACCTTGCCAGTGATCAGCTGCTCCGGGTGGAAGAGCTGCTTGTAGGTTCCAGTGCGGATCTGGCCGATGACGGACGACTCCAAGTCCATGAAGACGGAGCGAGGAACGAATTGGCCGGTTCCAGTCTCGGAAAAGAACGTCGAGAAGTTCTCGTTGTTCATTCCTGCTGGAACGGTTCCGTCGGGGTTGATCCCGTGCTCCAAGCAGTAGAGCTCCCAGCACGAGTTGCCGATTTGGCAACCGGCCTGAAAATAGGTCAGCGATTGAAAAATAATATTAATTCTATCTCTCTGTTTTCGCTTTACCTGGCCGACGTGGATGGAGATAACTTCCCGCATGATAAATTGGTTTCAAAAATCAAAAACTCAAGGGCTCTGGTTTTGGCGAGATTTTAAAATCTCGGCGAAGACTGGAGTGAGGCGTTTTCCGCTGCCGGGCTGTTTATATCCGAAGCACTTTCGAGCCAACGAAGTCGACCCGCTTGGTGGCAAGACCAAACCAATTTTCCCAAAACGCCATGACCCCCGCAACTTTTTGAAAAAGAGGTAGTTTATCGGGGAAATGCCATCTTTGGAGCATGCGTGAAAATCGTGCATCTTGGTTTTTCCGTTGCGCGCTGTCTCTAATTTAGCCTCATAGTTTGTTCCTCAATAAGATCCATCAGAAATCATAGAAGAGTCTTGTTTGCTTACCCGGAATGTCGCCATTTCTGAAGCAGGTTATGATAAGTTGACTGATTAACAGCAGTAGTTCTTTCAAAGGCAGTTTTAGTAAGTCAGGATGAAATTAAAAATACTACAAAATCTAAGAAAAGAATATGTCAAAAGAAAAGTCAAAGAGTCTTCGCCAAGGTCCTTTCCTTCGGAATCCATTTTGAATAAAAATTTTCTTCTGCGAGAAGGGGGACTTGACTGTGACGGTAAAACTGTTTGTCTCTTTTGATTTAACGGAAACAAGCGGGAAAGACGGGCTGATTCCTTCAAGCATAAGTTGTGAATTCTTATCCTCATCGCCAAGAAAATCGGAGATTCGACGCTCTTGAATTTCATATTCCGCTATTTTGAAATCTGTCTCTTTTTCCAAGGCACTAGAAACAAGGGATAAAAAGGTATTTTTCAGGGCTACTCACAAGCAGTAGACAATATCGTCGTCGAACAAAATTGATTCCACCTCGCAATTGTCGAGCATTTCTTTCTGGAAGAAAGCAATAAATTTGCAATTGGGAATATATTGCATCTGGGTGTATTTCTTCGGTACAATAGGGATAATATCCGGTATCTTCGTCTTACGCCACTCGTTCTTCTCTTTCTCTTCTGTCCCTATTTTCATTATCTCATCATGAAAATATCGAAGTTTGACGAAATCCCGCGCTAATGATACTGGAAAGACTTCCAGGTCGCCACCAGCGTGAAACCACGAAGACTCAATCTTCTCTTTCAGTTGACACAATTGTCCTGACGGATAACTAACCAGCTTATGATCAATCTGCAAGAATAGAATAGCATCTCTAATGCTACCAGGAAACCCTTCGGAACCATCATTTATTCCTGCAAGATCTTGCAGAAACGCTTCGCCATTTTGACGAAACACATCGAAAACCGATCTCTTCATCGGGAGAGAATATTCGTTCTTACTGAAGAATTGAAATATACCGCGAGATTGTAAAAATTACCAAGCATCGCTCATTCCAGATTCAAATAGTGCCTTGAAGTAGGGAAAATTCTCACGCAGAAAGTCTTTGCTGTAGCATCCCATGTCATCAGAAAATTGCAGTTCGATCTTCGTCAAATGATCTTCCTGATCTTTATCATGAAAATTTTCTCTATTCATATTCTTAGATCAAGAGAAAACTCTATCGATGTATGTTAAATCAGCTGGTGGTAAGTTTGTCGGTGAAAAGCAGGTCTTCCAGTTTCCGGACTCCCCAAAAAGGGCACTAATTTGACCGACCAATCAGGCGCGCGCGGGAGAAATTACAAATCTCTAGAGAAGTCGAAGAATCCCAGCCGAAATCTTCCGATGGAAGCCGTGGCGATTTGCGATTATCAAGTGCAAGCACAAGGCGACGAATTCACCCTTACTGTTGGCCTAGAGATTAACATCCTTGATAATTCTGTATGTTTTTGAAAAATCCTCGCGTTCGAAGTTTCTTTTTAGGGAGATTTTTTCTTGGCTGACATAAAAGGAGAAGAACGATACGTTCCTGGAAATTACGTAAAGCTCAAACGAGATGTTCCGTGGTTTCTTGGTCATATAGAACGTGAAGAAGCAGAAAACATCCTCAGAAATGCGCCTCACGGAAGCTTTCTCATCAGAAATCGCCAAAAGACGAAGCCGAATGACACATTTCTGTTTGGCTTGTCAGTGAAAAACGAGAATTGTCCAGAGATTGTTCAGCACTACCGAATCGCCAAGGACGAAGAAGGGCTTTACTGGATGTATGAGAATAGAAGATTTTCGAGTCTGGATGAACTAGTCCTTTGGTACAGTGATCCTCAGAATGACCCCGAAGCACCACAAGGTGCACCACAGCTTCACCATGTTGATCTTGGCTTCAGAGGCGGCGAGAACGATATTGGAAAGCCTACACCAGGTAATTTCACTTTCTGACCATCCTAGTCTCAGGCCATTTTAAATACACAAATATTTCTAGCAATCGCCCTTTTCTCCTTCAAAAAAGAAGAAATAAACGAGCTCAGCTTTGGTGCCGGGAGTCACATAATCGTTCATAAGAAAATACCAGTTCCACAAGAAGGTCGAAAGAAACCCGCTTTTGAAACTTACGATGGTATCCTACAAAAATACGAATTCATTTTGTGAAAATACTTTTTAGATTCCGAGTGGCTATATGGCAATCTTGAAGGAAAACCGTCAGAGAAGGGCTTTTTCCCTCGCGAGTTCGTGAAGATTTTGTGAAGATTCAATTCTGAGAGAATACCCTGCTTATTATTCAAAATCACTGCTCCAGCTGTATGTATAGTTCTGTATAATTAAAATTGCGGATTGAAAAATGCATGCGCTTTATCTTGAGCCCGATCCAGTTAGACTGCGAATAACGACTGTACGAGTGTGTCGATGACTAGAGCACTCAATTAAATGATTGTGTGATCGTTCGCGAGAAACAGAAAGAAACAAAAGGAACCAGAAGAAAAAAGGGATATTTCTAGTGAAAATCGAGAAAGATAAATGGAAGCGCGGGCGCTTTACGATTTCAACGGTCGATCTTCCGATGAGCTCAGTTTTCGTCAGGGAGATTTCCTGACTGTTATTGATATCGTAAGTCTTCTTAATCTTCTTGTTTATATCTCCATATTATATAATATAATTTATTAGTTATAATTAATCATTTAAAAATTAGCAAAATGAACACCACAGAGCCGAATTTCAAGGAAGAACTGGTTACGTTCCTGCGAATTATGTCGAACTTCTGGTAAATCTCAAATTTTCTTTTCTAAATTACAGTAATTAAAGCCTAATCCATGGTTCCACGGCGGCGTGCCTAGACAACATGCCGAACAGATTCTCTCCAGACAAGAGTACGCCCCTACTTCAACTGATTAAATACTAACAAATTTGTTTCAGTCTGCCTCGAGGGGCGTTCTTGATCCGCGCGTCTGAAAAGAGTGGCGGCCCGGGTGCTTTCTCGTTGTCGGTGAAGAATACCTCGCATAGAAATTTGGTCGAACACTATCGAATTTTGAAGAATCAACGTAAGAATAACAATTTTGACAGTCAAAAGACTATCTCTAGCTGATCATTAAATTCAGAGGGTCAATATCATCTCTGGTCAGAAACGTTCTTCAGTCTCAACCAACTCGTTCATCATCACATGCAGCACTCGGTGAGCCGAGAAACAGATCTTCGACTCGTTGAAGTCAACTTAAATCAAACGCAACAAGTCGAAACATTCCAAGGTAAAGAACTTAAAACCACCACTTGCTCTGATCCCTTTTTTCAGCCGTCTCTGCTTATCGTTTTAAAAGTGAAGTCGGCGACGAATTGGGCTTCGAGCCTCACACGAGGATCCAAGTTCATGTTTCAGTTCCTGGACAAGAAAAGAGCAATCTAGGTAAAACACCGATATTCCTTCTTCTATTGAAATTTTCTTTCAGATAGCGACTGGTGGTTTGGGCATCTAGAATCGAACCCCGAAAAACGCGGCTTCTTTCCGAAAAATTACGTTAGTGTCGATGATCAAACGCGGCGAAAATATCGACTAAATCTTTAATTTTCTTAGTTTTCTCGAAGAAACAAGAGCATCAGTCTTTTCTCTTTTGTAAATTAGTTAATTTGAGCATATTACCACATTTTTGCGAATATACCGTACAAGTCATGACTGTTACAATTCTTTTCCAAGTTTCCGTACTAAGCATGTAAAAAAATGCCTGGGTACTACTTATTGATCTTTACCTTTCAATGTTCTTTCTTTTGCTTATCTTCTGCTTCTGTAAAATTTAACTCATTCCATTTAATTATTCTTTGCCCCCCTTGTTCAGCTCTCTTCCCTTCACTTTTTGGTTGAATATGGTATTTATTAAAATAAATTCTACTTCGCATAGACAACTTTTTATTCATTATTCTAGCGTCAAAGCACGCAGTTGCCCAGTTGCAAGTTCACCAGCTGAGAGAGCTCTTTTTCGATAAACAAAAGAACTGAATAATCATTTCCTTCGGCAAATTTGCATATCAAATTTACAAATAATAAATCGGAACGTTTTCAAGCGCGGCCTTTTTCAATTTTCACTGACCGCGAAAGTCCAGTATCAAAAATAAGTCTGAATAATGAGCACTTTGCAAGACGAGAATGCGATTCTCGTAGATCATATTAGAGAGCTTCAAGGAAAAATTGAAAAGGATGAGAAAGAATTCAACGATCTAAAGGTACCTTGAACCCTTATGTATGTTTAACTAAATCTCTGAAGGCGAATGTAAGCGACCAACAAAATGAGATTGCCCAGCTCAAGGGGCAATTAACGGAGTTCGAACGCGTCCTGATTCTTGAAAATGAAGCTCATGAATTGACGAAAAAGTAGGCGACTAAACATTCCTATCACATTCAAAACAATTAGGAAAATGACAATCTGAAGAAGAAGCTTGAGGAAAGTAACCAAGCTGAATCGCCAGAAAGCGAAAATGATGAGAAGAAGGTCGATGATAAGCTCGAGGACACGAAAATCGAGCTAGATGCAATTCACCAGCTGATAAAACAATCTCAGAAGCGAATTTCTGAAGCAACAGCAAATGAATTCAAGCTTCTTGAGGAAAAAATCGCAAAGCTTCAGAGCACACCACCTTCAGAATAAATTGCCGAATGCATAAACATATTCTCAATCTTATTTTTGAGTCTTTGAGTCCCGGAATTTATCAATCTAGCTGTCTGTCCGTAAATGGCAATGGCGCGATCTACTGAGACTAAATTTTATCAAGCTCGCATCAAAATAAAGCCAGGTCACACAGAAAATAGCGCATAAGAGAAATTAGCTGCGGGAATCAAGTCTCGTCAGCAATCAAAGATAGGACTGATTGGCAGACGATCGAACTCAACAGGGGTTCATCTTGTTATCCTCTGTCTGCGACGATTATCTGGGCCACCGCCTTCCTAGAAATGCTTATGAAATCAACAAAGAGACGCGGCCATACGCGAGTCAATCCTGTTAGTTCGTCAATAATTTCTCAATATAGCTAGATTTTGCTGCGCTTACAGATTTACTTCGACCAAAGATGAAGCTTTTTCATGATGTTTTACAAGTGTTGAATTTTGAATTCGGCGTAAAAAATCGCAACAGCAGCCATTCCTTCCAAAAAGGGATGCTGAATTGACGTCACAATGTTTATACGTTTTGGGACCTCGCGCCAAGGATGGCAGTCCTAGGGTGTGACCTCTAACTTCTAGTGCTTACTCTTCGCAGAATATTGTTGTCCCTTCAGAATACAAAAGCAAGGAAAAATCATTGTTATTTCAAGACATCAATTTTGATAGCTTCAAATATTTCTCAGGATTCTCAGAAATCTGCTTCGAGGGCAGGTCTCGGAATAACCGGTATCATCCATACTATGGCGTCCGCTACTAGTTGGCAGTCCGAAATTCCGCTACTAGTTGGCACCCGCGCGCTTTTGATAAGCCAGCCTAATTTGGGGCTTGAAATAGAATTTACGCTAATCAAACCATTCAAATTCGAAGTTTTACAAAAGAACCACTTCCGGAATGGTTTTCGGTATCGAACCACCCAAAAAGTCCGAGATATTTGCATGATTTCCTGCTGGGAAAGGAAAACGGGACCCGGACCCTGGCGGCGCGCGCTCACTGCTACTAGTTGGCAGGAGGGGCGCTTTGACTGCCAACCAGTAGCGGATGCCACAGTACGTAGGGTAACTGAGGTTCCCACGCTATCGAAGTTGTATTTGCGACAGCTTCCTTGCCTTATCACTCGTCTAGCATATATTGCCCTTCGAATTTCTTCTCACACCCGGCAACAAGTAATTATGTAACTGCAACTAGCACGATCATTTTCCATGATTTCTATTCTCAATACCATCATATTACCATTTGCACAGTAGAATTCTCAATCTATGAGAGTCATTGTGATATTCTCAGCCGGCTTCCAAGAAAATAGCTTATCGATTCATATTTTGCGTCAGGTAACCCATAAACGACAAAAGACTGCCGCCGGTGGAATTTGAATGATCTTTGCCGAAGGTCAACAAAGCACACGACTTACAAGTAGGATCATTCCCGCTGAGACAAGGCCGCTTGTTTTCTCTAATGATGAATAACTGCGGATTTTCTTAAGATTCTCCATTGTTTTCTTATGCCAAAGAAAAGCATTCGTTCAGTTAAGCCCGGTATTCAATTGTAAAACATCATAGGTTTTGTCCATTCTACGTCAGAAATGGTTAATTATGATGACGAAAGTAACAACTTCGACCTTGTCAAGGGTGACAAGAAGCCATTTGATTTACTGATCGTGGGTGGACGCTTTAGGCACCATGTGACATTAAGGGACTTCTTTGGATATTCTCTAATTCACCAAGATTCTTGCCTATAGAAATAATTAATTAATGTTCTCTGACATCATCAGTACTAGAACCCATCTTCTACCCAAAGATGTTAATAAATTAAACCTAATGAGTTCCTCCTGTAATATTCAAGTGGATTCAGCTGACGATTCTCATGTTTATCTGTTGTTTCTAAAATGTAAATAAATCACAGTGGGTTCACGAAATTCTGATTATCTCCATAAAAATCAGTGGATCAACAGAAATTCGTGGAAACGTATTCTGTTGATCTTGTTAATACGTTGTTGTTCATCAGAAAAGAATGGCTTTCAATGATTTTACTACAGTGGTAGAATAGAACGAAAAGTATTTCTTGAAGTACTTCCATATTTAGCTATATTTACTAAGAAAAAGGCAACTAAAGCATTCTATTTGGAATATTTGGCGACCCTAAGTGGCAGCTCGAGCGCAGCTTCAAGCCTGGGGCGCCAACGACTTGACTCACAAAGGGACGCTCTTTATTTCCTCGCGGCTCACTTTACTCCAGAAACAGAGCCTAGAGACAGCTTGAGAGAAAAACCTTTTAAATTTTGTATCCAGGGCAAATACGAAAAAGAACGACTTCTTCAGTCAATTTTCTTTTCTCCACGACTTCGCTGCGACTGCCCAGCAACACACACACAAGCTGGCAAAACTATTGATGAACTTGGCTCAACTTGATTCCCGATCAAGTGCTCCAACTGCAGGTCAGTATTTTCAAAGCTAGGAAGATTTCTAGTGATGGTTACTTTATGATTCTAGGCACCGAAAAACACCCTGTTGTCGCACCACGAGTAGCTCAGCCAAAGGACGACTTTGGTTGAAGGAAACGACCCTGTCTAACTGCACCAAACGGCGTTAACCCACTCTCGCCGACATGACCCATCAATTCGAAATCTCATCATCCCTCAAAACCACCATCCAGCGGCTCAAGGACCGACTCTATTTGCGCAAAGTAGCGGCAAAAGGTAAAAATTACGTATTTTGAGCATAAACACTCCCCTCGTTGAAAGTAATGTTTACATGAATATGTAAGACTTGTTAAAATAGCCGAACTCATGTTAGCTCTACCAATTCAGCGTATTTTTAATGATCTTTAATTAACGAGCAATTCGTAAAATTGGGTCACAAATTTATGAGACCAAATTTTGATCATCAAAATTGAAATTCCGCCACGCCCGAAAGCGATATTCGTGTCTAAAATAAACCTTACAATTTCTTTCAGAACGGGCCATTGAAAAGCTGCAACAGGAAGTAAAAAGGAGGAACTTCGCGAAGCGAAAAGACGCGCACGACTCGTTCAAATTGGCTCTAATGCACGGGCATTCTCCAACCGACGATCTTATTCCCCTTCCAATCACTCGCTTTAATCAGTATTCTAGTAAAATTTAGCTACCTAACTTACCCAATTAATAAAGCCCTTTCTTACCAACAACTAGACTTTCAAATTCAAATCTGGTGTTACCTGCTTCTTTATAAAAAATCAACTTACCAAAGTATTTATCAGAACTCAATGACCCGTATTCATTTTCAGCCATCATTTACTCCTTGCTCCAAATGTCCAATTCGTCACTGTAAATTAATCACTTCAAATTCTGCATTTAGTTAGTTTTTCATCTTCAAGAATAAATTTTATAAAAAAACATTTGTCTATCGATGAGTCATATTTATCGGGGAGAATTCGCTTTGCCCTGCGGCGTGACTCATTGAAAAAGAGAGAAAACTCGGGATTAAAATCGGATATTTCAGAACAGAAAAAATAATAAATGACAAAACGGGCTATCGATAAAAATTGGAAGGCATTATTACAGTCAGGAGCAGTCACACATAACAAGAAAAAGAAAGAACAAGTGAACTATGAGAAGAAAACAAAAGATGGCAAAAAGACCATTTGGTTCGACGTCGACAAGTCGATTTTAGAGCAGCATGATGCTTTGATGCCTTCGAAAGGGAAGGCTTCAAGTTTGAAGAACAAAATTGTTGCGATTGATTGTGAAATGGTGGGGATCGGCTTTGGCGGGAAGAAATCGGTCTTGGCAAGAGCGAGTGTTGTTTCGGGCGACGGGGAAGTGCTTATAGGTAATTTCAATTAGGCTGATTTCGAAAGAGTCTGCCATCTTTAGACAATAATATTGTTTTGATAAATAGGCGCAATCATTAGTCTACTAGTATCAGATCCCATCAATCACATGTCGTGTTCAGACGAGTTTTGTCGGGCGCCGGAGAAAGTGACAGACTACAGAACACTTGTATCAGGAGTACGGCCCAAGGACCTCAAGGACGCGCAGCCATTTGAATCATTGAGAAAGAAAGTAAAAGAAGCTCTCGCTGGAAAGATTCTTGTTGGCCACGGTCTTTCAAACGACTTGAAGTGCTTAAAGATAAATCATCCTGCATCAGATATAAGAGATACAGGAAATGATTTATAAGCAGATGGAAAAATTTCTATTGATGTTTTAATTGAGAAATTAGAAAATAATCATGAACAGCTAATTATTTCAAAAATGCGAAAGGATCGAAGCAAAGTCTCCAAACATTAGCTTCTGAAAGGCTTGGGATAAAAATCCAGACAGGGGAGCATTCTCCTATTGTTGATGCGCGAGCTGCATTGAGAATATACGTAAGTCTCGAAGAAGCCTCACCATATTTGAAGATAATTGAGTTGTTTTGTATCAAATTCCGTCAATATTTTCGTAGCTCCAAAGCAGAAGAGAATGGGAAGAAAAGCTAAAGAAAGAAAAACAACCAAAAAAGGGAAAAATAGACAAAGTTGAAGAGCACGAAAGCGGGGTGGTCGACGAAGAAGAAACTGAAAAATCTGTATAAAAAGCGCCATAATTTATTGGCCCATAAAAGTTAGATATTGAGTTAAATCATGAAAATTGTTCAGAATTTCTGTGTAAAATGGCAAATTCGAATTCGGATAATGAGCTGGAAATGGAAGTCATCAAAGAAGCGCGCTTAGAAAAAGAATCGACTGTTGAGCCACAGAAATCAGTAGATTTGAAAGACTCGGACGAAGACTCAGATGAGCAAGATTCAGATGATGACGAAGATATTATAACGACGGGAACAGTGGTGAAGGAAGCCGACATTCTCATTCACCCCCGTGGCGGTTGTCCGATTCATCCATTCAGAAAAACGTTCAAGGAGAAAAAGTCATCGCGAAGAATGAAAAGTTCTGCGAAAAATGCTTCTGCTACATTTGCGACATTGAGTGAGAGAAAAAGCTGGTTTGTCATTCTACATTTCTTTCAGGGCATCAAAATGCGATTATTGGACCGATGCAAAAGTACGTCATTGTAATGCGTACCACACGAAAGACGGGCTATGGAGATTTATTCGCGAGAAATATAAAGAGCGAAAAGCGAAGAAAGAAAATCTGTTGGCAATTAAACGAGATCTCCATGAGGTAAATTGGTCTTACGTAAAAGATATAAACCTGTTCTTTAGCAGCGGAAACGTAAGCGACCCGAAACATCAAAAGCTGCATCAGTCATTGATCTTGCAGACCTCGAAGAAAAAATGAAAAAATTAGAAGAAGTTAGGGTTCAAAAAGAGAAAGAACGACTCAAGCGAAAGGAAGAAGAACGACAACAAAAATCCAAAACCAAGAAGCGTTTACTTACCAAACTCATGAAGCATTTGAAGCCTATGAATCTACTGCACCGCCAGCTGCTGGAGTTACCTTGAATGATACAGAAACACTTCCAGACTTTTCTAAAACTCAGCCTGCAAAGCCAAAGGTAAAAACACATTTTAACGTTTCAGTTTCAAATGTTACTATTTCAAGATTCAAATGAAGATAAATTTCTCCAAATCACTAGGCCAAAGCTCAGAACAGATTGATCAGGATGACAATGACGGTCTGACAGACCCATCTGCTCCAAAGAAAAAACGGCCTGAGGAGAAGAGCTCTGAAGAATCTCCAGAAAAGTCAATTGCCCTTGCAAGAGTTCGAAATGCGAGTGGAAAGTCAGGAGAGTACTCAGATCTACCGCATACGGCGGTGGCACTTCCAGAAGATCAACTCAAACCTGCTGGTTCTGGTCTTTCAAACTCAAGTCTGAGCCATTTGCAGCAATGGCTCGCATCAACAAAACACAACGCTAACCTTGAACTAAAGAAAGCCCAGGAAAATTTAAAGGCGATCGAAGCGCCTGGAAGATCAACTGCTCACTTCAAAAAGCTCAGCGGTATTCGATTCCAGAGAGTTTATGATGAGAAGGAAGACGCAAGCAAAAAGAATGAGCCAAAAAAGTTTCATACGTCGATTCCATTTAATTACAATCAACGAGGCGGAGGTCCACCATCAAGGGGATTCGTTGATCGAGGACGAGGAGCACCGCTGGGAAGGGGAGGTATTCGATTCGACATTCGTGGACGCGGTGGAGGATCCAATACAAGTGGAGGAACAAGTCAAGGTGGATTCACTTTCCGTGGAAATAATTCGCGAGGTTTTCCCAACCGCGGTGGGCCGCCTTTACGAGGAGTTCCGCCCGTCAATCATCGTGGAATGCCATTTTCTAATCGAGGAGGACTCCCTCAAAGAGGCCACCCAAATTTGAGAGGTGATTCTTTCAGAGGAGGAAGGCCGCCATCAAGAGGCGATTTTGGACGAGGAAGAGGGAATGGATTTTCTTCCCGCGGCGGCCCCGGATTTTCTCGTGATCCACCGCGGCGGGAATCATACGAAGAAGAAAATCGTCCTCGATATGGAAGTGCTCCAAATCCTCGTCGAGGGCCTTCCTCTTATACAAGCTCGAACACTGGTCAAAGAAGACGAGAAAACGACAGGACACAAGGCGATTACTCCCGTGGAGGTCAACGAGATCATCTGTCGTCGCGTGATAGTCGCCCAAATTCAACTCGGAACGTTCCGCGATTTGACGAAGGAAGAATCGACCGCCCCATGGGACGACGCAGCGGTCCTCACTCAAGCGCCTATGATCAGCTTCTGCAGGACGTCGATAAGCACCGTGAAATCTCAAAGAAAAAACAATGGGAAAATTCAAAACTCGATCGAGACATTCAAGCAGAACTGCGGCGAACGGAAAGAAAATCTGAGCCTATTTTACTTGGTGAAGTAAAGGTCGCTGAACCAGAGACGTTTGGAAAATGGTAAAAGAGCACTGCCGCGCGAGATATCGAAGGAATGGTGACACTTTTTCGCGAAATGTCCCAACCAGCGAACGAAAAATCGAGAGAGCTTGTTCAATCACTGGTCCAGATATTTCATTTATTGATTTAGTGAATAAGTTATTTATATCGTCACCAAGAGAAGCCAATTTAATCCATCTTTTTCCTTACCAAAAATTGTAATTAAAATTTTATAACATAATTCAGAGAAGTAGAAGTCTTTAATAAGATCGAGATAACTTTTTGTAGCTAAATTCAACCTAAAGTCTTTAGGCTAAAGACATGATGATATTTTACTCTGTATATATTTTGATATCCAACGTTATATAAAAATATTTCTTTCCATAGAATGGCAGACGCTGCTCGAAAGCGACTGGCAAAAGAGGTGAAGCAGTTGAAGAAAAACCACTTGACTTGATCTGGACTGAACCAGATCCAGCGAACATCCAAGAGTGGCACTATTGCTTCGAGGGACCGAAAGATACTCCGTACGAAGGCGGCTTCTATCATGGTGTTTTGAAGTTCCCCAACGAGTACCCTTTCAAGCCGCCTGCAATCTATATGTACACGCCAAATGGACGATACAAGCAAAACACTCGAATTTGGTACATTGAAGAGCGACTGATTTATTACTCAATTCTAGCACTTCGTTCTCCGACTTCCATCCCGAGTCCTGGCAATCGACGCAAACCATTTCAACAGTGCTAGTTGGACTCCTCTCTTTCATGACTGAGGAATGCCCCAACGCCATCGGGGGCATGCAAGAATCCAAAAGTGAACGAAAGAAGATGGCCAGGGAATCTGGTGCCTTCAACAAACGGAACGAAAAGTTCTGCAAGCTCTTCCCCTATCTTCTAGAACGAATGTAAACAATCCTGACAATCATCCAGCTCAATAATGTTCCCATTTCGCTTTTATACTGATCCCTTTCCACTTTATCTGGACGTGCGTGTGACTGTAACGAAATAACTCTAAAATTTAATCACTCTATTTAGTCACTCTAAATACGAACTACAATTCATTGAAAAAACGCTTAACTCTTCAGGAAAAACCTAATGCTCAAGCAGTATTATCACATCCGCGTTCAGACTCCTTTTAGTGCTTCATATTAAACTTCTTTTCTTCCCTCTATGATTGAAACCTCATCTCGTGTAATTGAAAACAACTGAAAAACAAATTGAAAACAAGTTGTTAATTCATTGTGATTGAAAACTCTGCCACCAGAAACGCTATTCACCTAATCGGACAATAAATTTGTGATTATTATCTATCTAAACAAACTGGACTACTTCGCTTTCAATGATCAATAGTTCTGTCTTGAAATTTAGCTAAAATGATTTTATACTTTGAAGATAAATGGCGGCCCAAAGACGCCAAGGACATGTGAGCGCGTTGAATCGCCTGAAGAACGATTATGCACGACTAAAGAAAGACCCAATTCCTTTGATTCATGCAGAGGTGAGTTGGCTTTTATACGCGCTAGGATCCACATCCTATTCTATGAGAAAGAGATAATAATGAAATAAAACTAAGCTTTTTGTTTTTATGTCCTTCGCAGGAAGGAAATCTTGTCAGAGGCGTGTTTGCAATAATACCGTAAAATAAACGAAAGAGACCAAATGAGTACTTCAGCCCGACCCGGCAAATATGTTAGTATGGCATTACTGTGTAATCGGGCCGCCGCATACTGCCTACGAAGGAGGCTATTTTCACGGGAAACTTCAATTCCCGCCAGAATTTCCATTCAAACCTCCTTCAATCCTGATGATGACTCCCAACGGCCGTTTCAAAATAAATCAGAGACTATGGTAACTTTGTATTCTCTTCCTTGATTGCAACAAAAATTTGTAGCCTTTCCATATCAGATTTTCACCCAGATAGCTGGAATCCAGCCTGGTCAGTCGGAACAATTTTAAATGGGCTTCTTTCATTTATGGTCGAGGAAGCAACAACATATGGATCCATCGAAACCCCCAACGCAGTCCGCCAGCGATTAGCAAGAGATTCAGGCGCAGAAAACTTGCGTAACGAAAAGTTCTGCGAGTTGTTCCCCGAGCTTGTCGAAGAGATAAATTCAAAACTTGAAAAGAGAAGAGCGCAGACAAAGCCAATACCAAAGCCAGAGAAAGAGTCAGAAGAAACAACCAAGGAAGCAACAAATGCCACAGCGGATTTAAGGGCCGCTGTCAAGCAAGAACAGGGACTCTCAAACTTGGCAATTTTCGCGATGATCACCCTTTTAGCGTTATCGGCAGGCGTCGTAAGTAACGTATGTATCTTTTACGACGTGATTGTGGTCGTAAACATTTATCAGACTTAAAACTGACATGAACAATCGGACACTAACGCGGATTTTTTAGATTCTTTATGGAGAGAGCTAGTCTGTATTCTGTCATTATTCTCACTCTGTCTCGTCTCTTCAACATTTTCTATAAAAACAATCGAAAAAAAACTATCATAGTTTTCACAACTAAAGTGACTTCTTTTCACGTTCAGATGAAAAATGAGAGTGTGGACGTAGAACACAGACCTCTAGGTCGAGTTGGTGGTGCGCTCTTCTGCTTTCTGATCTTCATAACTTCATTTTATGGTGCAATATTTCTACTTGGCCCATGTTTTGCGTTAATTTATATTTGGCCCTGGTTGTACAGAAGAGTTGTTGATCGGATCGTTGCGTTTTGGCTAATTTTTCCCATTGGTGAGTTCGACTTTTCATCCTATAATAATCTTGTTATTAAGCCTTGCTCGAAAAGGTCTTTCGTGTCCAGTTTTTTGTCAAAGGCGATGGGTTCAACTACATGGAACGAACTGTCATCATTCTCAATCATCGAACTCGTGTGGATTGGATGCTCTTTTGGCCCTGTCTGTTTCACTGTGCCCGATTGCGAAAGTTGAAGATCGTTCTAAAGTCCGACTTGAAGTACATCCCTGGCCCAGGATGGTTAGTCTTTTATCACTTATTAACAATAATGACGCGTCTTTCCCCAGGGCGATGCAGGCGGCGGGTTTTATTTTCCTTGACCGAAAGTGGGAAAGAGATCGACCACATGTTGAAGATTTACTTCATTACTTCAATGATCCGGACATCAACGAGCCACTTATTTTGCTTATGTTTCCTGAAGGAACTGACTTGACAGAGAACACGAAGTCAAGGAGTGACAAGTTCGCTGATAAGCAAGGACTTCCAAAGTACGATTACGTTCTTCATCCAAGGTAATAAACTCGCCTTTTCGGTTAAATAACTATTGATAATAGAACTACTGGGTTCACGCACTTGGTAAAACAGCTGACGGAAGCTAATGCCATCGATTCTATTCATGATATCACTGTTGGATATCCAGCCGGGTTGATAAGAGATGAAAACGACCTTATCGACGGCAAAATGCCTAAAGAAGGTATTTAGTAAAACTTGGCTAAGATTTTGACTGATTTCAGTCCATTTCTCTATCACGCGTCATCCGGTCGACACTCTGCCAACATCGGACCAGGATCAAATGTCCACTTGGCTCAACGAAAAATGGCGATTGAAAGAAGAGAAACTAAAAAAATTTTACACAGTCGATCGAAAATTCAACGATACTCGCCAACCGTACTGGGATAAAAGGACGATTAGCATTTGGATCGCTCTTGTTTTCTGGCCCTCTTTCACGTAAGATCAAGCTTTGAGTCATTTCAGTAGTGACACAATGTTTCAGTGTTGTTTGCTCTTATGGCCTCATTGTGAGCCATATGCTCAAGTGGTACGGACTCGGCTCCATTGTCTTCTATATATTCGCTCTCAGAGCAAACGGGGGTGTAGAAAAGCTAGAGATGGCCGTTTTCCAAGCTCTTCATCACAAAAAGTAAAGTTTACTACGGCAACAAAATTTTATATTTTTCTTTAGTCCGAAAGAAGATTAATCAACGAGTCCCGAACTGAAAAAATAACTGCTTCTTTGTAAATAGCGATTTCCTGTCTTCTTCAACTCAGTGCACAGTTCCATTTTTGTCCATAAACTTTATTATATCGCAAAGTCCACCTGTTTTTAAATAGTACTTGTACCTATATCTTTTTATAAAGCATCTTGACAGATAATTTCTAAAGGAATCCTGAGGTGGACTTTCAATTTAATCTGCCAGATTTGCTTTTCGATTTCCGGAAAAAGTTTCCATTAGACCCCCCAAGTATCATACCTTTTTAGAATCGTCTTTAGCTGCTCTTTTCCCATATGGAAGCCGATTTTTGAATTTCGGACTTTTTATCGGATTTTTATCGGTTTTTGTGATTTCTAATGCATTTTTCAAGTCCCTATAAGTTCCAAACGATTCTAGTTTTTTAATTTTTTGCTCGATAAATAAAAATATCTCGTCGAGAGGATTCTAAAAAGGTGTTAAAGTACTAGATTGGGACAATCAGGTGGAAATTAAGGTCCACCCTTGGCAGATTAAATTGAAAGTCCACCTGAGAGCGCAATAATCAGCTGCTCGTCGCGTTTTTACCTATTTTCTTCCAAGCACCAATTTATGAAATTATAATCCTTTGTAGTTTCCTTTCTTTCACGAGCCTGTTTTCTAATCATGGCTATTTCCCGGTTTTATATTTTCCTTCAACGTGATTTTACCTTTCTTTTTACTATTTCCATTTATTCGTGTTCATGTTTTGTTTAGTGTCCAAAATTCTGATTTGTAGCACAAAACTTCAATCCTTGCCTTTCATAAACACCTCTTCAGTTTTGTATTTCAGAAAAAAGTAAAAAATGCATAAAATGGGTAAAAAAGACGAGGAGGCGGGAAACCCCTTTCAAAATGTTGACCGCTCAACCGCACTCCAGGAAGCTAAAAAGTTCCACGAAACCCCACTCCGACCAAGACTCTGCTCGGAGACTTGCACCAAGGTTATCTATCTTGCAAACCAAGGTGAAGAATTCACTACAACAGAAGCAACCGACTTTTTCTTTGCCATGACCAAACTCTTCCAAAATAACGATATCACTCTCCGTCGTATGTGCTATTTGACTATCAAAGAGCTCTCTAAAATGACCGAACACGCTTTTATCATGACCCAGTCGCTGACCAAAGATATGAACGGCAGTCAAGATCTTTTCCGACCAGGTGCTGTCCGAGCTCTTTGCTCGATTACAGATCCCACTACTCTTCAGTCGATCGAAAGATACATGAAGCAAGCTATTGTTGATAAGAACACAGCTGTTGCATCCGCCGCACTCATTTCTTCTTTCCATCTCTGTGACAGAGCCTACGATATCGTTAAACGATGGGCAAATGAAGCACAGCAAGCTAGCAGCTCCGACAACCAAATGGTGCAATACCACGCTTTGGGTCTCCTTCACCACTTGAGAAAACGAGATCCTCTTGCCATCGAGAAGCTCGTCGTCAAGCTCTCCCGAAGTGGCCTCAAGTCTCCCTTGGCCTACACTCTTTTGATCAGAATCGCCGCCAAGCTTCTCGCCGAGGATGACGATCGAACAGCTCTTTTCGATTTTATTGAGTCCTGCTTGAGAAACAAAAACGAAATGGTTGTTTATGAAGCCGCAAGTGCCATCGTCAACATGAAAAACATCACTCACAAAGAGATCGCTCCAGCTGTTTCAGTTCTCCAACAATTTTGTGGCTCTCCAAAGCCAGCCCTTCGATATGCTGGTGTACGATCGCTTAATAAGGTTGCGATGAAGCACCCATCTGCAGTTACTGCTTGCAATTTGGACTTGGAGAACCTTATCACCGACTCTAACCGATCCATCGCCACTCTTGCTATCACAACTCTTCTGAAGACTGGATCAGAGTCCTCTGTTGAGCGCCTCATGAAACAGATCTCCAATTTCATGTCGGAGATCTCAGACGAATTCAAGATCGTCGTTGTCGAAGCTGTTTC